GCTACCAGAGTAGTTGAAGTCTACCATATTTTGAGAGTACAATGATGAAGAAAAAGACTGATTTTTTTCTTTTGTCAAAATCCAGTTTGGCGTTATTAATGTGTTTTCTGCTTTCTTTTTTTAGCAGAAGAAATCGCCATAAGTTGGCCCCGGATAACTGCCTTTACAGAGACTCGAGGACGCCGAGGTTTGGCTCCTGGTAAGATCTTTATGAAAAGCCATGGGTGATTTTTGCTGAGTGGATCCTAAATAGTTCCCCACCTCCGGATTATGGGGATAGATAACCTGTGACTGCAGGGCCACATATAACACCCCAAAAGCCTTGCATAGAATCCTTCCATAAGTTATTGCAACATTACATATGTTAATGTGACAGAAGGGAAAAATTATTAAATAAATTGGGGTAATCATTCATGTAATGTAAGCAGGTTTATGACTGAAATAAATATGTGATTTCATTTTATATTAAATGTAAAATTCCTTTTAAAAATTGCTCTAGGCTCTTGATATATGGATCCCATCAATAAAGAATTAGGGTTAGCATTAAAGATAGATTATAGACCTAGAGTCACCGATATTCTCCATTTGTTAAGGACTGTGATCTGGATCATCCTGTATCATTGGCTATGCTGGTTAAGGCTGATGGGAGCTGCAATTCAGCAATTGGAAGTAATCAAATTGAGAACAGAAAGAAGGGGGATAGCCTTCCTCAAGAGCAGGTTATCCGGGCTGAAAGAAATAGCATATTTTGGAGCTTTAGGACAACCAGTGACAAGGGGTTGGGTAAATGGAACTTCCTGATTCCAGGAACTAGGATGATTCTGATCTGTGATACTAGATTTCCAGCAACATACAAGCTGCTTTTGAATCAACATCCTTGCTGCTGTAGCTAGTGACAAATCAGGTTTCTGATTTGAATCTTGCTCTGCTTGATACAAGTATATTATACAACATCATTTTTTTATCCTTATTTTCCTGGAAGCTGGAAAAAATACAGCCTAGATCAAAGTAGTACACCCATCTCTTTCCTTTCTTCCCCTCCCTCCCTCCCTTCTGTTTGCTTGCTTTAAATGCATCCATTTTCTCTGTGGTACTCCGGTCTCCCTTTCTGCAGGATTTCTATAGAAAAGTTGTATGGTTTTTTTCTTTCTCTTTATAGGCTTAGAAATGGAACCTGAGCAAGGGCAGCTAGCTCCTTTGCAGGGCCAAGCAGCAGCAACTACAGACGGGTCAAGTGAGGAAGGGATCCTTCCAGACTTCCGGAGGCAACTTGGGGTAATTCTGCAAACTATAGGCAAGGCTCAAGTAGAGAAGATGCTCAGGGAGCTGGTGAAGGAGCAGGAGCAGCAGGGGAGAGTCAGGCGGCGCAAAAGAGTGAGCAGGAGCCCCCGACATGGAGGTAGGTCTTTTGTTGGAGAATGGCTTTCAGGGAAAAAGCCACCGCAAGAAGGATCTGATGTTCCCCCATTTAAATTGGCAGCGGTGGTGCTATCACTACCATGCCTCCTGCAGTCCTTTGAGGACAAATGTATATGGATATATATCCATCCAACCCTTGGATAAAAATATTGCCTCCCCTGACTTAAACATTAACTTTTTAAAAAGAATTCTGCAGTCCCAAAAGTGACTGATTATTTTACATTGTAATGTCACTGTTGTCTGATTATGTCATTTGCATGTTGTGTTTTCTCTGAGAGGATCTCTCCTAACTGAATCTCTACAGTAACAAAACTGGCATTGACTGGGGGAGGGGGTAAAGAGAGAGATGCCCCCATCCACACCTGTACCCACACTCTTAGGATATATGTACTACTTATAATGGCCAGGGGGAGGATAGAGAGAGAGGGAGATGCACACACACACACACACACACACACACACACACACACACAGAGCCATAGGATGTATGTACTACTTGTGATGTTGGTGATTTCAGAGTGATTTTGTTTTTCATTAAGTTATGTATTGTATAAATTATTGTATTCTGCTTTTGTAAACCACTTAGGATTTTCTTACAATAAAAGCACTTGTAACAAACAAACAAACAAACTCATTCCTGTGGGGCAGGCTGATCTGAGAGAAATAGCTAACCTAAAATCACTCAGTGAACCATATGGTCAAGTGGGGACACAACTTCCAAGTCCATAACCACACACAGGACTATTTATCTATGATTCAGAGTTATTTCTCAATACTACCAAATCATCTTGGCTCCCGTGGTTTAGAGTTCCTTATCCCCACCCCCCAGCTATCTTTCTTCCTATTAATAGCAAAAAAGGAAAAAGTCCATTGCTGATACGTGCATTGCATTCTTTTCCTTTTTATCTTTTCTTCATAGATTCCTTCCTTCAGCTTACCTTCTGTTCCTTGCCTCCTCAATCCCTTTTCTTTTGAGTAATGTAAAATGACTGAGTATATTTAGATTTACTGAATCTTTATAGTCTAAAGATAGCCGTACCTTGAGGCAGAGTTTACTTCCCCCCCCCCAATTCAGGGCATAAAGAGTCCTAATAATAATTCAGAATAAACAGTGTAATTGTCTGTTTCTGTGGTATGGTAAAGAAGAAGGATGGAGAAATAGTATAAATAAAGTATCATGAAGATATTATAGCATATATTTAGAAATACTCTGTTGATTGGGCTTGGGACTAGTGAGGAATTCAGACTGCTGAACAAAGACTGCAGTTAAGAAGCCTGATTTTTTATTTAAAAATCTTCACCAATAAACTGAATCTGTTATTCTCAAGAAACTATCTTATATCAGGTAGGCCACATATAGATTCATTAATGTTTGACTGCAAATTTCTGGGCTCTGAACTGAAGGTCTTTGCTGCCTGGGTTATTTTCATAGAAGTCTGAGGGACTGAATCTGAACCTTCTGTAATCTGATACATCAAAATGACAGCAGTATTCTATCAATATGGAAGATGGGTGGGGAACTGTGATGCTCCACGTGTTGCTGAATCTCCGTTCTAGTCAGTTGCAGCCATTGGCCATTGGTTGGGTTAATGAGAACTGATTTCTACCAGTATTTTGAAGGCCACATGTTCCCATCCATGTTTATTCTCCAAGATGCTGAACTATAACCACATTTCTGTTTCAGCAGGTGATGAAACAGTGGGACAAAATAACTTGGAGACTTCACAGGAACTTCAGGCTGGAACAGTGGAAGGACCAGCTATGCCATCCAGAAAGCCACCTGAGAATGAAGTACAAGTGTCCTTCAAATGTCCAGGATTGGCAGGACAAAAACAACCCAAGATGATTCGTGGGGATATCAGAGGGTGTAAGAATAATCTTGTCCAGCAAAGTCCTCTAGGAACAAGATGGGGAGCAGGTCTTGAGCCTAGAGAAAGCATTAGCTGCAGTCCATTCTCAAACATGAGCCATGACTCCCAGGAAGCTGGGAGAATATGGCCACCTTTTGGTGAAAGAGCCCAGTTCTTAGGGTGGCAGAAACCACGCTACACACAGAGACGTCAGCGCTTACCTGCAGGGGAGAAGCCCCACCGCTGTGGGCCATGCAGGAGAACTGTTGTGATCCCACCATTAAGACCTAACTCCCCTCACAATTCTGCATTGATTCCTTTCTTGAACTCTGCCTCTGAATCTTCCTCTACTTTGTCTCTGAACTCTGTAGGGCCACTGAATACCCAGGCTGTTTCAGGTAGCCCAGCTTCTGCCCAGTCGCGAAAACCCCATGCCTGTGAGGAATGTGGCAAACGATTCCGAATCCTAGCAAACTTGGAACGACATCAGCAACGCCATGCAGCAGAAAAACCGCACCAGTGCCGGGACTGTGGGCGCCGTTTCCGCTGGGGTTGCCACCTGGAACGCCATAGGCGGTCACGCCGCTGTGTGGAGTGTGGCGGAGGCCTTGCAACACCACCTCCACCCCCATCCCCACCTCCAGAACCTGACCGGCCCTATTCCTGTGGGGAGTGCGGGAGACGGTTTACACAGCGTTCAGCGCTCAGCAAGCATCGGCGTCTGCACTCAGGGGAGCGTCCCTATGGCTGTGGAGAGTGTGGGAAACGCTTCCTGCAGCGCTCCGATCTCACTATTCACGTGCGCTCACATTCTGGGGAGCAGCCTTATGTCTGTACAGAGTGCGGACGGCGCTTCAGTGTCAGTTCGAACCTAAGCAAGCACAGGCGTATGCATCGTGGGGAGCGCCCTCACGCTTGTTCCGTCTGTTCTAAACGCTTCCTGCAGCGCTCAGAGCTTCTCATCCACCAGCGTGCTCACACCGGGGAGCGCCCCTACCCCTGCACAGCCTGTGGAAAGCGCTTTGCTCGCCGGGCTCATCTCAAACGCCACCAGCGCACCCATGGGGGTGTGCCTGCCACAACTACTGCATCTCGGCACCAGAATGCTCATCTTTTGACTGCTCCTGCAGCAGATGCTGTGTCCCTCTTTGGACATCAACAGCATGAACATGGGGGGGTGACTGATCCCCTGGAATCACATCCCCAAGCTAATACTCTTGCCACAGGGCCAAGCCCACCTGCAGCTGGGCCTACTGCTTTCTCAGCAGCTCATAATTCTGTGAATGCTGCTTCACCGGGTCTGTCCTGGGCTGTGTCCTCTTCAGGACGCCTTCCTTTCTGCTCTAGCTCTCTCTGATGATGTGGTAGGTTTCCTGCACGGTTTGGGGTAAGTGAAGTGGGGGACCGACCAAGCTCTGATTAGCCCATGAAAAGGGCATATGTATTAGCACCCCACCCTTATCTGTTTGGAGGCTTGGCAGGTTTTTTCCTAAGGCTTCTTTAGAAGTTCTTTGCAAGGCCTTTTGTTACGAGAGAGGCATGGAGTAGATGAAATATACAAAGCCCTTCATGATCATCTGCTACATTCCCTGAATTGTTGATTTATCTTGGTAATACCAGTAGCTTGTCAAGTTGGGCATAGCTGTCCTTTCCAAAGTTAACTGCAACTCACTGATGCAAGTAATTATGTCTTGCAAACCACAGTTACAATAACAGGCATTTGTTTCAGATTCACAGACGTAGTTCTTTTTTCTCTTGACACGATCCACTACATGAGCCTCTTCCTCCCTCTTCCCTATTTTTGTAAACTTAATCAGACCCCCAACACTACCCCTGGCCAACAATCTCATTTTGATCAGACAGCCCTAGTTTCTTTTGATGGGAAACGAAGTCCAACTAGGTTTCTTTGAAGGGCTTTGAACTCATCACCTGAAGACAAAATGACATACTTGCTGTTGAGTCTATATGTTGGCACACACATATTGTAGCAGTCAGCCTACAATTGATTGAGTTAGATGTGGCTTTTAGGAGTCAAAGTGTTCTATGCTTCTATAACTGAAGAAGATGATCATGCCCAAGCATTGGATGATCCAAAACTATCATGAAAGAACAAGCTGGAAAGAAGGAGTGCCTCTGATTCTTCAGAGCAGTTCAGAATCAGAAAATGGTGTGTTGGGATTTGGACCTCACTGCTGCTTGGGGAATTTGGGACAAGATGGCCCATGCCTTCAAAAGTGGAATTAGTGCTCCTTCACCATCAGCTACTGAGAAAGAAGAGTGACAAGAGGAGAAAAATCAGGGAGTGCCTCTTGTTGAGAATTCTAAACTGGAACATTTTAGAGTGGGAAGAGTCTGCTTGCTACATCTACTGGTGTTTCAGACAGCTTTGAAGAGCGTGATGAAGCTGCTGCTGTGTAAAGATCACAATCTTTTGATACACACTACTGTGAAACGCAGTTCCCAGCTGTATAATAGTTTACCAAGTCAGTGTTATATCTCCAGCTTGTACATTCTTGATATATTTGGGGCTGGTATTTTGTTTCTAGGGATGAAATCACAAAGTTGGGCCTGGGTTCCAGGTTAGGGAAGCAGTTAATATCTGATTTAGGACTAATACAGTAGAACTTTGTTTTATCAATTTTTTTTTCCGTGTAGTTTCTTTTCAACAGCATACAGTAGTTGAATCCCAGAATGTACACAAAAATGAACCAAATAGAATATTTTGCAACACGGTTCCCCCAGGAGCTATTTTGCACCTTTCACATTGTAACATGCATTTTATGCAAATATTTTGGGTTGAGGTCAGTGCCTCACAACCAGGGTTTGCTAGTTTCTAAACCAGTTTCTCCATTTGATAACTCTGAATGTCAGGAAGCTCGTGACAATATGAAACGTATGCAATTTTGGGTCATACTACCCATTACATCTTTCCAGTGCAGATCAACAGTCTTTTTCAGGCCTACATGTTGTTTTAAAACATGCATGGGGAAATACAATGTTGGAATGTTCAGACAGACAGTTGGGATGTCTGTCATAAGGAATTGGATTCCATTGCCTGGATAGTGGGTTAATCTGATTTAGCAACAGCTATTTTGATAAGCTTAAACTTTTGTGAAGATGAGTGATTGAGGGAATTGTTCTGGAGGCCACTGCTGCTTTATTAGTTTTTGAATGGCCAGAAGATGGCTGCTGATTAGCTAGCTAGCATTACAGAAGGCCTAGGGAGGGAATACCATTCAGATATCGATAGATCAGAAGGAGGGAATCATTAATAACTGTTTGGATCTGTGTGTGTTTTAAACCACTGCCAATGGGTCATTCTACCAGTGGATATTTCTTTTCCTGGATATTTTTCAAACATATAAGAGTATGTTTTATAGGTATTACCTGTTGCAAGGCTATTGGCTCAGAAGTGTTCCCCGAAAGGCTTTTCTGTTCAGCTGGACAGTACTTGAGCTTGATAAGTCATTTAAATGTTCCAGGTTTACATACCTTTGTCATCTCCAAACTACATGTGACCGAACAGCCATGTGCTTGGACCCCCACCCTCAGAGCCCCTCCCCTTTCTTTCTTTTTGCAGTAGGCAGATCACAAAAATTGGTGGCTTAATAATCTTTGACTTAGTAAATTAAAATTTAGACCAGTCTGCTTTAATCTTAAGAGCTAGATAATATGGAACAAATATTGATTCCAGCTTCAAAATAACATATAATAGGAAGTTTTTGGAATTCCTGTGTTTGTAGTTCACTTATCTACTTGGGCTAGCATCTTCTAGACCTCAAGCTATTAACAAATGGTTCAATTACTCTCAGGACCTGAATGAAACACTTCATTGATAGGGGTATTCACACAAGAAAACTCCAAACTACAAGGAGACAGATCCTAATACTTGAGCAGATTCTTGGTTTATAAATTCCAACAAAAGTGCTGATGATGCAGGAACTATTTTTATGGGAATTGTGGCCCAAGAGCCAGAAAATGATACATTCAAGTGAAGACTTCTGAATGTTAACCCAAATTCTGCAGAAAGCTATGTTCCTAAAATATATTTATAATGAAAATTGGCCTATAAATTTGCTAATCATAGGAAAAAGTAAAGTAGTACTTCCTTTCAATCACAGAAAACCTTGATTAATCCTGTGTCCTGACTTCTGAGATGTTACCAGAATTATCACCGTGTTTTCAAATTTTCTTAATATGAGGAAGCAACTTGCTTTGAAAAGCAAAAGTGAAGAAGTGACCATTTTCAGGGATTTTGTAGTTGTTCCTATTTTCTGTATGTGTGTCTGTGTGTGTGTGTGTATACATATAGTGTAATACATACATATACAGCTAAATTTCTCTAGGCAGGGAAAGATCAATTGTGCAGAAGATTGCAAAAAATAGAAGGTTGCAAGCAGGGATAGAGGATGGTGCTATTCTTTATTAAGAGATACCAAAAGGAATGCATTATTGTTCCACTCCATTTTTGGGCTAAAATAGGCTTTCTATGGTGAAAATCAGGTCAATATTATCTGGATCATGGAACAAGTAGGTTAGTCATCTTCTTGAATGAGAGTCCACCAGGTTTCAGATCTTTGGCATCACCTGCAGCAGATTTGGATGAGGAAGATACACGGGAACAGCTCTAGTGTCTCTTGCTCACCACTTTAATCTTCATATAGGAGTCAGAGATGTCCTAAGGAATTTTACTAAGAGAGTTTACATGATGGCAGTGTCGGCCAGCTCTGTTTAATCCACAGAATCAGGTAAGTTAATGGTCCTGAATGTGAGATTTGTGCCTTTGGCTTGTATTGGACATTAGCTGCATCTATCTTCATGAACTCATAAGTCCTTTAAAAAAAGCCTTTTATGTGCAGCATATGTGACAATATCCAAGCTTAAACTTGCTGCATTTGGTTTTGCTTATTGCTCACCAACTCCAGCTGGGGATAATCTGCTAAACTGTCCTTCCACAGTACTTGTGATAGATAATCATCTTCCAAATCAGTAAGCAAACAGAACAAAAATCTCCAGGAGTCTTAGAAAGTGAAATAGGCCATAGCTTTTTTTAGGATGGAACGTTGTGGTTGTAGGCCTTGGAGTTCCCATTGTTTCCGAACCACTTTGTTTGCCAGGACTTGAAGTTCCAATCTCACAAACACTCCCTTCCAATGCATACCATTTATCCCATAAAATGTCTGCAAAATGCGGACGAAATCTCTTGGCCTTTCCTAAGCTGTAACTTAGGAAAGACAGTAAAAGTCTTCTCCCTAAAACATGAGTCTCAGAGAGCAGTTGACTGCTTGATGCTGTGGAAGCTGACACGGGTTGGGGATGTAGGAATGGACATGGCCCTTGCCACTCGGGCACGGATGGAGTGTTTGTCCTGCCATCGGTGCCACCTCTTCCGTACTGCAGAACGGACCTAAGAAAACATCACAAAAAACAAACATTGTTGCCTCACTGATTCCTTCTCTGAAAGGGGAGCCAGATTCAATGAAGAAGGTCATTCTAGATGCATTAGACCAGCCTTCCCCAGTCCAGTGTCTCGTGATTTTTGGAAGCAACTCCACCCAACATAACCCATAATCGCACTGATTGAAGATATTTATTTTACAGGAAAGCCTATGAAGGCCAAGGTTTTTAGATCACAAAGAATCTCCTTTGAACAAAATATTAAAGGGTGCTTTGTGAATCCTTACCATTCATAAATGCAAAACCACAGTCTGTTACCTTTAATCTGCAATAATGAGCCTATTTATCAAAGGTTTACCAAAGGTAAATGTATGAAGTGTCCAAATGTGAAAAATCCTTGTTATTTTTTTCAGGATACTTATGCAAATGACTACAGAAATTTGGTTTAATTAATGCTGGGCAGCTACTATTGTAATTTCCCATAAGGCAATTGACATAGGATGACTCCTAAACCCCGTGGGTAAGTAAAATGGCTGACAATTGTGAAAGAAAAAATAAAAACCTTTCAGAGCAAATTTCAGTTCCAGCAGCTACATACCTGAGAATACTGTATAGTAATGCTAAGTTTACTCACTAATTCACCTCAAGTTGGTAATATAACAAGTGGGTCCTTTGAGATAAAATAGATACTACAGCAATATTCTCCAGCTGCCAAGAAAAATGGTGATAGAAGTAGGATCCAATTTGAAAAACAAAAGACTGAACTGGCAGATTGTACCACAAGCAGTAGCTGAGAGAAACTGATTTCTGGAGGACAAAGCCATAGGGAGGTAGAACACAGGAGGAAAGAGTCAGCACCATCAGTTGCTGGCCTCTTTTGGTTTTAAAGTTGGACACAGATATTCTTCAGGAATGAGTGTTCCTTCTTCAAACACAAACTACCATTGAGAGTCTTGCTTGCCTCTCTTTAAGCCCATCCTTCTCCAAACCCATGTTTTCCATATATTTTAGAAATAGAAAGGCCAGCATTCCGAGTTAGCATGACCATTAACCATTCTGGGTGGGAATTCCTATATAGCACAAGGTTGAAAAAGTCTGCTCTGTGCCAATTCTCCTAAAGTCCTTATGTGCTAGAAACAAAATATATGGGGAGGAAAAACTCCTCAAGGAAGTCTTTCCATCTTAAATTTGCTCTCAATTTTTTTTAAAAATAGTTTTCATTTAAATCAAATCTTTTACATTTGAAAGGTGTAGAGTATTAAATTTATCACATTTATACCTACCAGCGTGTCTTCAGATGTCATTGTGTTCAAAGCGTTCCTTGGAAGGAACATTAAAGTACTAAAAGATAAATGCACTTGAAATTCCAATTTCAAAAATTAAACCAAAATTTGAAGCTTTAAAAAACTTAGTTCCTCCACACTCCCTTTGCTATATTCTGAGTTTTCTTTACCCATAGTAATGGTTCTCAACTCTCCCAAAGAACTTTTGGGCTATCAGTTCTTTTCTTTTCTTTTTTTAGATGTTCTTGGTGGCATGCAAGGTAACAACAGACCTCCACTGTCCCACCATCTTCATTTCTAACCCCAGCTTACCTCACTGTTCAGGAAGCAGTAGAAAACTGAGACAAAAAAACCCTGGATGGGGAAGAAAAAAAGACTGTGGAATCAATCACAGCATAGGGAAGAGAATGAAATAGCCATGATCTTTCCCCCATGTTTTCTAATTTCTTTCAACAGACACATACTGGGATTCAAGTCTCCAATGTATAAATCTGCTCTACAGCCACAACTTGTCTTCTGCCTATTATCTAATAGGGAGGTGGGCTGTCTATTGCTAGATTGCCCTTGCCTGGACATTCTCAGTCTCTAAATTTCTGCATTTATCAGGAGATTGGACTAACGGCATAACATGTTCCTCCCAATGTTATGTGAGAAAATGGACTGTGGCTAACTTAGTAAAGAATAGGATTCATGCTCAATAGTACCATTTGTTACAAAGATACACAGTCTTGAGGTCTCCAGTGCCTTGAACACAGCCTGCGGTGTGGATTCTCACCAAAATCTCTCATTGAATTATAATTTTAATGTGACAAAATCATTCAATTCTTGGAGAGTTCCCTATATTTAATTACATGTAATTACATTTAAATTAAGTATAAATTCAAACACTTTTAGCTTTTGGCTCTGCCAACTTTTTAGCAAGTGGTCCTCCATCAGTCATGTTGTTGTACTTTCCCCCATTCCTTGAGACATGAGGAAAGTGCATATGTTGATATGAAACACACTGCCCCTACAGTATATCTTTTACCACCCCTCAGCAATGAGGCTGGTAGTGTTGCTGCCCTCACTCAATAGCATAAAGCAGCTCTTGGAAACTGTAAAAAAAAGAGAGCAAGAGATGTACAAACTGAATTGTTCTAAGATTTCCCTTTAAAATGCTTAGACATTCAAGTCATTTTATCTTTTTACATGGTTCATCCATTACAGTCAGTCTCTGGCCCTCGTTTCCCATCCTCAGCTACCACCTCTCCCCTTCCCTGCCTCCCATAGAGGGTCTCTGGCTCTGGAGTTGCATCCATAGTGAGCTGCAGACAGGGTTAGGAAGGACCTGTGCTTGGTCCAGATGCTTCACGGTGTCAGAGAAAAGCAGGCAGAAGAACAAGATGGGAAAGCAAAGGGGGCAGAGACTGGCATGGTGGGAGATGGCAGTAGTTGCAAGATGACTGTCAAGATTGCACAAAGATTACCAGTAGGAATGTCAACCTTGAGAAAGAGCCTGTTTGATATTCTTCTGAACGATCCACAAAAAAAAACAAAAAAAAAAACAGGACAGGACAGGACAGGACAGGACACCAAGCTGCACAAGGAAGCTGTTCAGTATCTCTGGCAGCCACAGCAGAGAATGCAGTACCCAGATGGGAAGGGTGGTCCTGCAGTGGGCCTTGCTTGTCTACATAGCACCCAGACTTCTGTCTTCCAGAGGAAAACACTATTTTCATACCTTCGACTGAATTCAGCCTGCCTAAGCAATGGGTTGGCAGCAAGATGGAGGCTCTGTTATGGGGACATGATCTCAGTGAACAGCAAATGGGCCAACTTGGAGTTGGGACAAAGAAGCTGTGTGGATGAGGCCTCACTATACCACCCAAAGTTCAAGTATGGGCCTACACCAAAAAAAAAACAACAACCTTGTGCATCTCAGCTTTATCATTAAATTGCATGTTGCAGAGCTTTGTGGTAACTTTGATTAAAAGTTCTCAGCAGAGACATAACAAAAACATTTGGAAATTCCACTAGCTGGGGAAGGATAACACAGAGATTAATAAAGGCCATTGGAAGGGTTTGTAGTAACTTCTGAAGGAACAGACTGAGCAAGTTCAAAATTATTTATTTAATTGCAAATATTGTATATGAAGTTCATCCTTGAGCGAGATCATTTAAAATTTTGTTAATGAAAGCATTTACCAAGGCAAAGTTGTTGACAATTAATCTGCCAGTTTGTACACTTCCAGCATTCTTTCTAAAATCCCATAAATCTACAGAGTTCATAATTTGGAATGGTGGAGGAACAATATATTAAATAAATACATAATATAAAATTAATATAAACCACTTAAAAATCAGAAGGTTCTATATAAATTCCATCTACCCAACCTCCCTTCTAATTCATTTCAGCTCTAATTTTTGTGAGGTTCTGCATACCTGGAAGGACTCCAAAAGGGAGTTGAAGTAAATGAAGACTATCCTGGATATTTCATCTTCTCCAGGGTTAACAAAGAAAAGCATGTAGGTTATTCCTAGTAACGGAAGGAGCACAAGGGTGGCCTTCACCGCTTTTCTGAAGGAAGAGCATATGTGTTACCATCCAGACTATAATCCCTGTATCCCATTGCTGGATCAGTGGAATCTTATGCTGGATCTTAAGCAGCAAAACAAGTGGGGAGAAGTTAATAAATCTCAGATGTGGAATGTGTGTGCATGAGATGCTGGTGGTGGAATCCCATGTCCTTGCAAAATTAGGACAACAGGCCAAAGAATAGCAGCAACTTCTTCTGACTTTTTAGTCTTCTATTGACAAGGAATATTCTACATGAAAACATTAACAAATTGTATCCTTTGCCAACAGTCTGAAGTAGTAGATTCCATCAGGCATTTTCCCATCTCATTATATTGTAAGATGGGAACTGATATCAAAATTCAACCCTAGAATCTGTTTTCCATGCCAGAAACCCTTTTTCTTCATGGGGAAAGGTCAAGAACTGGTGCCCACTCAACCAAAGTTGACTGGCCTTGCACTGAATCCTACTTCAATGCTGGTAAGGGGACATTATTCTATGTCCTCTCTAATCTATGTAGATTAGCATAGGGGGCTTGGTATGCTTTCTCACAGCCACACCGCTGCCCCTGTTACTCTGCTGGCCCATCCTCTCCTGCATCTCCCTCCTGAAGCAGCTGTTTCAGTCAGCTTCTTGGCAGAGCTGGTCTTGTTTTTAGGACAGCCCCTCTTATAACCCTCTCTCAGCTTTCCCCTTTTGTTCTGCTCTTTCCCCATCTAGGTTAATACCTGTACTGTATGGTCTCTGAGGTGGTCGAGGCCCGGAGCTTGGTCATCAGGATTCTGACAATATTGAATAAAAAAATAAAATTGATCTGGAACAGAAACAAAAATCAGCTTAAAACTAATAAAACAACTGGGCAGGGAGAGTTTTATACCAAGTTGTTTGTGGCATAAATTAAAGTTATCCCCTAACTGAATCCATTGTAGAGGGTAGAAGAGCTGGAATAGTGTAGGGACATCATTATCCTACCCTTATTTGTACTTTATGCCATCTTTATTGTTTATTAATCCTTGCAACCTGTTTTTTTTCCCCAGCAAGCCACCTAGGAATAATGAAATCAGATACAAAATGCTAACAGACAGTCTCAACATCCCCATATATCAAAATGGCAGCATGTTACTTGTAGAAGATGTCATGAAAAGAGGAAGATTCAGGATAAAGCATAGTTTTGACATTATCTCAGTGCAACCACTCCATCAGACTACATTAATTATTAGCCTCAGATAATGGACTCAGATGAGGTGTAAAGTTAGGGAACAGTCAAACAATAAGTTAATGATTGAGTTCATATTTAAACCATGGCATTTTTGGTGTGTGTGTGTGTGTGTGCGCATGTGTAATATTTTACTGTGTTGTGTTTTTTCTCCAGCAGCTGAAAGTGAGTACATAATTTTTCCGTTTTCTCACTTTATCCTTACAACCCTATAAAGTTGATTAAATAGGTAAAGATAGTGACTGGC